TATACGCACCATACAATGAGCATGCACCATAAGTTCGATTGAGCAATGGTTCAAGCACTTGGAGTGGCTGCATCTGACGAATATGACCCATTAAATTATCAACATAACTATCATGATCTTCCTCCATTTTAGATATTTTTCTTTGTCGTTTCTTACCAGCAAGTGCATTTGGTACTGTTGTTGCAGGCTCCGCAGCAGTTTGTGCCAATATTTTATTTGCATTATTTGTGAGTTGACGACGCTGCTTTTGATAATCTCGTTTTCTTTTTTTTCTTAATTCCAGATCAATAAAACCACTTTCAGGTTTTATAATATTGCTACATTCTACTGGAGAAGGTCTAGTGTTCTGTTTTTGTATAAGTAAGTTATTCGTGGCTACAGAGCTCACTAACTGCGTTGTGTTAATTGTTTTAGGTGGCTCAATCGTCTTAGAGACAGTTATATTATTGGAAACATCCTTAGGTGCACTATCTAATTTATTCACATTTACTGTAGAATTTTGTGCTGATGTATTTGTAATTTGTTGTATGTTGTAAGTACGCTGATCACTTACAATTGTTGTTTTAATTGGTATATTGTGTTCCGTAGAAGTGATATTTAGTATCTGATCTTTTCTGTAATATTAAAAATAAATATGTTAGTATATGTAAAAATAAGAAAAATAATTTTATATACCCAAAATTTTTAGTATCCGTAGATTTAATGCTAGAAATGTTAACAGAGCTAGTGTTTTTGCATTTTACTTCTTTATTCATGCTCGACAGGGATTGATTATTTTCTGATACAGCTAAACTGACATTTGGCGGCAATTCTTTTTGACTTATTTCATTATTTGATAATGATCTTTGTATTGGAACTGAATGATTGCTGGATAATTCAGATTCATATTCTGGTACTGTCATTTGTACGGAAAAAAGGTTTTCTGGTAGTTCGTGAGATATATTTGGATTAGATACAAAAGACGTTTCTTTAGAAATGATATTGCTTGTTTTAAGTTTAACTTTATTTTGAATGATATCAGATTCTTCCGTGCTTATATCTTGGTTTTGATTCGTAGCAGTGTTGTTTTCAGTTTTTGTCACGACCTGCTGCGGATAATTTACTGGAGATGCGGCTGTAGCAGGTACAGGAGGTATGACTGGCCGAGCAAGTTGGGCTTCTAATGAACTTACTAAACCTAAACATGGAGCACGTACGTTGCCCACTTTGCGTGCTGATGGAATGTTATTACACAAGAGTAGTGTTGAGCCTTTTGAAACTGATGCCGCATTAGAATTTGAAGTTATATCAGTTTTTTGAATTGCGTTAGAATTTTGTAGTAATTGCTTAAGTAGAACGTTTTGTGAGTCCTCTAATTTAGGCACTGAAATTTGCACTGTGTTTGGTTCACCTTCTTGCATATGTTGATAACTTTTTGTTTCATATGTATTATCAATTATTTGATTGTTGTCCAACTCTGTTGTATTTGTAACATTACTATTAGCAATTATATTAGATAGCTCTGTACTTTCAATAGAAATGTTTTTTGTTTCTATTGCTTTATCGGTATCAAATTTTTTCTCCTCAAATGTTTTTAATGTACTTTTATACTGCTTTTGATTTTGATTTATATTAGCCGTATCTAAATTCAACTTTTTTCTTTCTAGGCCGCTATCCACAGTTTTAACATTATTTGATTGTAGTGCTAGAGAAACTGAAGTTGTATTCTGTGCTATCTCTACGGATTGTGATGTTGTCTTTAGTTGAGTTGTTGTTAATGCGGTTAATGTTACAGGTTTGGTTACATTAAGTTTTTTCTTAAAGGCATCTGTACAGGTAACAGTATTACTAATGTTTGACTTTTGTTGCTGGGTAATATTACTTTTCGCTATTACTAAGGATATATTTTTGGGTATACTTATTAATGGTGTGGTATGTAATTTTGCTGCGATATTATCACTTGTTAGCGTAGTATTTGTATGGGACTCAATTGTCGAACTTGGAATTACAGTCGAGTTTGTTCCGATTTTATTTGTATATTGTTGAGCTGGTGCTCGCATATTTGTATAAGTAGTATATTTTAGGGTTTTTGATTGTTGTTGTACTAAAATCTCTTTTGGGTTTGCTGGTTTTATTTCTGAGCAGAATGTTAAAAGACCTTCATTGCCATTCACTATTTTCCTTTTAATATCTTCAGATAAAGACACTTCTGTTCTATTTGAAAAGTTTGTTTCTTCCATAACTGATTTTTCCTTGACTACAGTTTTGAATGGAAGAGTTTTTCTATTACTCTCCAATGTAGCCCCAAATTCATTTTTTTTTATTATTTCAGCTATTGAAGTTTCTGTACTTAAGTCCTTCTTTTCCACCATTATACATGCTGCGTTGTCTCTAGAAATCGTTATTGGTGTAATAGTATTTTGTGTTGAATCATCGCCAATATTTTGTTTGGGTTTAGTTGCAGTTATTGTAATAACGCCTGGAGTAGCTTGTACAGAGTTTTGCATTGTTAGTGATGTTTGAGGTATAATAATAGGCACTTTTTTACTTAACACTTTAGCTTGCACTATTTTAGCTGTAGATACTGGTTTAATTTGCAGCTGTGATAATGACACAATAGTTGGATGCGTTATTTTAGGTCCACGTTTAACGTTTACAAAATTGTTGACATTTATTGTATTTTGTTGTTGCTGCTGTTGTGCAATGTTAGGGGGCTGAGTGTTTTTCTGGTTATCAGAAGTTATATTAGGCGTTATAAGTGAGGTGGAGTTGAGTGGTTTTAGCAAAGGTACTGAAATTGTTGTGTTCCCTATTGAAACTTTAGCAGTTGTTTGGGTGACTTCGGGCGGTAGTTTCTTAGACGCAACCATTATAGGTTGATTTCTTAAGGTAGAATGTAATGTTACCCTATTCCACAAGCCTGGTGTGGATTGAACACCGGTATTAGAATTTAAAGTAGTAATTCTACTATACGATGGAGCACTCTGTCGTATAATATTAATATTCGCGGGCAAATTTTTTTTACCATTGTTATCGGTTTTCTTTTGAAAATTTGCAATGCTTAACTCTTGTGATGAGGGTATTAAAACTAATTCAATTTCATCGGATGATGAGCCTGGAAATGATGATATATTTATTGTGTCACTGGTGCTAATGGTTGATGAAGTTATGTCATTTCTGGTTATTTTTTGTGGAGTGTTCGTCAATGATATATGACTAAAGTCTGTTAATGAAGTAGTACTGGTCGTAGCACTGGACGTTATGTTTTTATTGTCCTTATCTTTAGACTCTGTAAATTCCATTATGTTTGGCGCAAAAACAACGCATTCATTTGATCGGTCAGCTTTAACAGAGTTGTTCAAATTCTTGATATCTTTGTCAACTTGCAATTTTTCATCCGAGTAGACACTGAATTCGGTGCTGGTTGAAGTTTCACTTTTCTGTTTATTTGCTTCATCTTGCAGGGATTCATCAATTGTTTTTGCTTGTATTATATTTGGATTATCTGTATAGTTCCATATTAGTTTGCTTCCACTGATATCAATTTTAATTTTCTTGTTGTTGTCATCATCGTTGGTATCAATGGAGCGTTTGATACAATTCTTATCCATTTAATTACAGTCTGAAGCAATTTGCTTAATTCTACTTAAATACATTTATTTTCTATTTAGGCGATGATAAGTATATTTATACACAAATATAACAAATATTAACCTGTTCACTTCAACTTAGTCCATACATGAATTTATTTTAATTTAAAACGATGATGCCACTTTATCGCTAATATTTAATAATAATATTCTGTACATGTATAATATGTGTATGCAAGGTGTATCTTCATAGTTATAGAAACGATGAAATCATGCAACACAACACAACAAATTTCCATGATGAAAATTGAAGCAAAGAATATTGGCAGAAACTGAAGGTGTGAAAAAATACATAAAGGTTTTCAATGAAGCTCTAAAATGTATAAAAAAAACTGTAAAACTATATATTTATAGTTTATCTATAAAAAATATTTTTATACCAAAATATTTAGATAATTTAAGGGCCAATTTAAGTGAATAATGTTGAAACGTTATGAATATTAAAATTCTTAATTTCAGAAAAGGTTGTTATGTTATAAAACTATTTATTCACGAATACCAAAGATTAATTTTTATCTACATTTTGTTAACATGATATCAAAAATTTTTTCTGTTAAGTAGGATAATAAAAACATTTGAACAATATTATAAGATATTAAGATATTAGAGAATTCTTTTACGATTTATATTTAAAAAAGCAGCGGTATTCAGATGTGCTCGTTATTTAGACGTAGTTTTGTAATTTGTAAAAGTTGAAAAATGGCTTGAGCGCAAATCTGAATTCTTTCTCGATAAAGTTGCAAAATTAAGCTATCTACGTAAGTGATTTTATTTTTGTTTGTATTATTTTATATAAAATAAGGATTTTTGCAAGAAATGAAAAAAAAATTAAAAATAAAGTAAAACTTGCGTTTTTTGTATATATTATTTTTTTTTGTTCCCTGTATTATTTTCTTGTCAAATAACGTTACTGAGTTACCGAGTTATCTTATTACTGAGGTATCAAGTCTAACATCTGATAGTAGTATTCAGTGAAACATCAGACCTGATTTTTACTGCAAAGTGTTGTAATTTTAACTTTCAATTTAATTTAAAATTTAAAGCGTTTAAAAAAATAATAAATAAGGATATATTAAGAGAAATAAAAACGTTTTGCTGTAAATATAATTTAACTTTTTCCACCTCTTCCGGTTCTGTTTTTATTACAAAGAAGAGATACTTTGTGATAGTTATGTGTCAATTCGTACTGTACAAAAAATTTATCATACTGTAAAAACGAAAGTTTGGAATGATATGCTGTTGCTTAATAGGAAGGAAAATAGGTTAAATTACCGCAGAAAGTGTGAATTAAAGAAAACCATATACCTATAGTTTTTTTGTATATTCTTTATTTGATTAAGCGTTTTTAATTATAATTACTGTTGTTACCGTGAAGTTGACCCCCAAACAATTCAAATTTGGAGTAAAATTTAAGCCGGTGGTCAATAAAAGTTATTGGTGAGCAATAAAGATCAAACTATACAATGCATTATCCATTTAACGTTTTAATTTATATTTTCATTATAATTATATTTATATGTATGTATATATATGTATAATTATATTTATATACATAGTTGTAGCTACGTTGACGTTCTAAAACTTAATTTTTGGACTAACTTTTGAACTGAGAGAATCAATCAAATTTATTGGTGTTGAATTAGTAGTCGGGCGAATGTGATGTTTAGTTCACAAATCTATTGCTTGTACTAAATTTAGTACATTTAGGGTCAGTAATGATTTAGAATTCTTACTACGTGCCTTTCTTACAAATAACTACAGTGAAATTCACCTAACTCGAATCGTCAAGGGGACGGCAAAAAAGTTCGAGTTAGGGAAAATTTGAGTTATAATGAAAACACTTTTTTTTTTGTTTCCACCAAATTTTTTTTATTTAAAATATTCAGTTACTTTTAACCAACCATAGTATTAAATAATTTGAATATACACACAAAATTTTTAATTAAAATATTCGATTATATGTATTGGTTTTCTGTTTACCTACTGTTCTTTTTCTATATAATTTTCTAAATTATTTAATTGAAATATATTATCCAGTGCGTTTGCTCTGGAATGAACAAATGTTCAAATTGTCTTGAATCACATCTTTATTTGCAGCAATTGTGTCTGCAAACTGCTTCACCTTTTCTCTAATAATACTACCAAACAGAGGTAGATTTTTTGCTCTTGCAGTAATTATCCATTGTAATATAGCTTCATCCACGTCATCATATTTACATATTGTCATCCGTTTACGTTTATTATTACAAAACTCTCTTTCAAAGTTGTCTTTATTTTTTAAGATCGTTAATAAAGTGTTAGAAGGAATTTTTAGGCTATATCTTTTTTCTCTTTGTCACCTTTTTCTACTTCAATAATTAAATTAATTAATTTTCAAACATTTCAAATTTCTTTTACTCATGTTTGTGATTGAAAGTTTACTGCTTCACTGATAATAAGCACAACTTTATCATTGCATTAAGTAAATTTACAATAATGAGTGTTGCCGAAAGTTAGAATCCAATATTGTAGCGCAAATTAAAAAAGTAACTGATAAAAGTATTTGAAAATATAAACGCAAAACAAAAATTCGAGAGGTGGAGATGAATTTAAAGGAAAGTCGTAAAAAGCTATGAATTTTTACTTCCAGTTACGGAAATATTCGAATTAGGGGAATTCGATTTATGAAGAAAAAAATACAAGGAAGAGTTGTTGAAAATTCAAAGTTCGTACATAGGAGTTCGAGTTGTGGAAATATTCGACTTAGGGAAGTTCGAGTTCCCGTTTAACTGTACTTTAAAAAAGATCCATTTATTTGAAATTCCATCTTATATATACTATATATACATTAAGACGGATGATATCTTTCAAAACTTTTATGTATTTATTAAAGGTAGAGATTAAAATAAATGTACAAAATCTAGTCTATATAAAATAAAATAATTTAGTTTTTTTTTAATATTATATAATATTATTAAATAAAAAATATAAGACGAAATTTTCAAGATCTTCGTTGTTTCAACAAGATTATTTATTTATATTAATTCTACTTATTTCGTATTCACATTTACATATTTCTTATATTAAAAAAATTTAATTTTCATTTGTGTATAATATTTATTATAAAAATTTTTTATTAAAATCCAGTTTGAAATAAAATGATATATTTCATGTTAGAGATTTTGGAAGTAATACTACATAGAATTTTGAAATGAATAAATGAAGAACCGGTTTATGTTTATTTTAAGTTTGATATAATTATAAACAAATGTTGTTCTTATATAGGTAATAAACGTTTATGTAGCTAAGTAAACTAAAAAAAATTGGATGGAACAATCTTAATTTATACAAGTCTAATAGAATTCTTTAGCTTCATCCACGTCATCATATTTACATATTGTCATCCGTTTACGTTTATTATTACAAAACTCTCTTTCAAAGTTGTCTTTATTTTTTAAGATCGTTAATAAAGTGTTAGAAGGAATTTTTAGGCTATATCTTTTTTCTCTTTGTCACCTTTTTCTACTTCAATAATTAAATTAATTAATTTTCAAACATTTCAAATTTCTTTTACTCATGTTTGTGATTGAAAGTTTACTGCTTCACTGATAATAAGCACAACTTTATCATTGCATTAAGTAAATTTACAATAATGAGTGTTGCCGAAAGTTAGAATCCAATATTGTAGCGCAAATTAAAAAAGTAACTGATAAAAGTATTTGAAAATATAAACGCAAAACAAAAATTCGAGAGGTGGAGATGAATTTAAAGGAAAGTCGTAAAAAGCTATGAATTTTTACTTCCAGTTACGGAAATATTCGAATTAGGGGAATTCGATTTATGAAGAAAAAAATACAAGGAAGAGTTGTTGAAAATTCAAAGTTCGTACATAGGAGTTCGAGTTGTGGAAATATTCGACTTAGGGAAGTTCGAGTTCCCGTTTAACTGTACTTTAAAAAAGATCCATTTATTTGAAATTCCATCTTATATATACTATATATACATTAAGACGGATGATATCTTTCAAAACTTTTATGTATTTATTAAAGGTAGAGATTAAAATAAATGTACAAAATCTAGTCTATATAAAATAAAATAATTTAGTTTTTTTTTAATATTATATAATATTATTAAATAAAAAATATAAGACGAAATTTTCAAGATCTTCGTTGTTTCAACAAGATTATTTATTTATATTAATTCTACTTATTTCGTATTCACATTTACATATTTCTTATATTAAAAAAATTTAATTTTCATTTGTGTATAATATTTATTATAAAAATTTTTTATTAAAATCCAGTTTGAAATAAAATGATATATTTCATGTTAGAGATTTTGGAAGTAATACTACATAGAATTTTGAAATGAATAAATGAAGAACCGGTTTATGTTTATTTTAAGTTTGATATAATTATAAACAAATGTTGTTCTTATATAGGTAATAAACGTTTATGTAGCTAAGTAAACTAAAAAAAATTGGATGGAACAATCTTAATTTATACAAGTCTAATAGAATTCTTTAAATTAATTATGTTTTCGTTCAAATTAAAAATGTTCCCGCAATTTACGTTGATTTTGCTTTTCTTCTTTTCTGAATTTGGCTCTTCTATTTTGAAACCATACCTGAAAAAAGAAAATAAATTAGTTTCTCTTCATAAAAACTTTTTTTAAATATAAAAACAAATAATATCAACAAAACCAATTGTGCTAGTATAATTATCGAAATCAGTATTAATAATATATACCTAAATTCGATGTGATCTAATTTGGGTTTTAAGATTCTCAATACATTTTTAAACTGAATATGTTATTATCTTTTCACACTACAAAATATCAATTTTCCATAGACTGTTTTGAAATGTGAGCTTAAGATTTCTAGTAGGGTATTGCAATATCTTCAAAAATCTTCTGTAATGTAATGGAGTTTTAACTACAGTCCAAAATTCTTTCCACATTATCTACCTCTTTGAAATGTCTGATAATCATAATTACATCTATGATTAGAAGTCTCACCTCCATTTATGAAGAAAACGGGGCAGACATTCTGTCACATAGGACAAAGCCATGTCTTGAGATGGTAATGCTTTATTTTATTATTTGTTTTAAATTAAATTGAATGTGGGATTAAGTCGGACTACCATTTATATCGGTCTTTGCAAAACTTTCTTAATAGTAACAAAATTAGCCGATCGAAGAGCCTCTGAAAATTATTTGGCCAGGATTTTAACCAATAAACCAAAGACGTTCTACACTGATGAAAATATTCAGGTACACGAAAAATGACAAGGAGTCATTTATTAAAATTAAAATAGTAAATTAAAATTGATTAAAAGTAAACAAAAATGGTTCAAAAAATTTCTAATCTATTATCCAGTATAAATCTATATTCTATTCCTTTAATATATAAATCTGTATATTATAATATATTCCTATTAATCCGATCCTATTATTAGTAATAAATTTCAATGAATAATTATTGACCATATTTTTTATTTTAATATCAAATTAATATTAAAATTTTTTTATACAATTTATTTAAAAAAATACCTGTATTCGAGCTTCTGTTAATCCAATTTTCATAGCAATTTCTTCACGCAAATATAGGTCAGGATAATGGGTTTCCTGAAATAGAGTTTCAAGTTCTATAAGTTGATTCGGTGTAAATGTTGTTCTTATTCTCCTGTGTTTTTGTAATGTATTGCTACTATCCTCCAAGTATGATTCTTGATCGACTAAAAATTCAACTGATGCATCTGCAATGAAACATATATTGAGTAAATTAAAAAGTTGTAATTACATTCCAACTTTTCGAAACATAGCCAAAAATTCAAATCTTAGAATTAGCAAGAAAACCAATTATTTTACATAATAGCAGTGACATATTTATTTTCTTTATATAATCGCTATGGGATATATATTTTTCTCGTCTTAAAATTGATCGGTTTTAAAACCTCTATATATTTGCAGACAGATATAACGGCCAGTATTAATGAAACAAAAACTATATTCGTAATACTACGAACCAATTAGCGGTGTAGGCAAACTAGTACCACAACTATGCTAAGAATCTAAAATTTCAACATCAAATCTATGCTTTTGTTTAGGTGTAGACAGATAAGGGAACTAATACAATTAACGAGCGGTTAAAACCTTTTTTCAACATTTGAATATGATTGATTTTTGTGATTAAATCGCATTATCAAACTATGGAATTCTCAACAAATCTGTTGACCAGCTGACATGATACAGTACCAGTATTGTTTAGCTCTACAAACTCATGTATCAAGATAAAGTTTTATGCAAGGCACACCTAACCTCTGTTGGTCTTTGGGTCACAGCACCTGATGATGATTACGCAATTTCATGCCGAATGAACGATAAACAAATACCTGATCATTCTTCCCGCGTAAGTTTGGGAACTAACCACAGCCACTATAAGGCCAACTTCTACTGGACAGCATAACCGAAATTGCGGGCTACTGATCCCCGTAGTACCAGATTTATACCTCTGGTCGAGTGTTGCAAACTGGAACAATGCTTACTACAATGTACACTTCCTGCTAAGTGTTGGCATAGCGCTGGGATTTTAGTCGCCTTTTACGGCAAGCATGCTTACCTCAGAAATATTCTAAGCCCTTACCCGCTGGGAGAAGTAGCATGACGCAATAGGTGCTTAGAAGAAATTCGCAAGGTTATGCCTGTCGGATTGGGGAACTACAAGGAAATGAAAGAGAACGTTTTAGACAGAGCGGCTTCAGATGAAAGAAGCGAAACAGATTTCAATATTTAAAATGAGAAACTTTTATCACAATCTAATGTTTTAGTATTTTATATAGGTATGTTAAATTAGTTAACGGTGATAACTGATCACAAAAATTGGAAGAACTTGATAATTTATAGCGTTAAATGGATATTTAATCTAAAATCAAAATGAAATCATTTTCAGGGTCTGGATCTAACTGTTTGTTAGATGAGTTTGAAAATAAACAAACATTTTAATTATTGAGAGAACTTTAGAAAAAGAATAACAAATTCACTTAAACACTATTTGGACTGAAGAAACATCTTTGATGTCTTCGCAATCTTGGACTGAAGAAAATTATCCAAGATATTTTAATAGAAACCATTTTGTCTACGAAAAAAATTTTTGTCAAAAAGGATTATTGGTTTTTATTATTTTGAAGGTGATCATCAACTATCAACTTATGTAGTTGGTTATCCCTTGACATACAAATAATTTGATGTGTCCAAAAATACTATTTAATTTAGATCAATTGAACAGTTATATAAAAGCTTAGGAATAAAAATTATTATTTTCACATTTGGTTTGTACAATCAAATAGCTTAATTGCACAGCGTCTGCTGGAGGCAGTTCTTTAAGTTTTGGAGATGTTTTAGTCGATAATGACAAATGATATGAATGTCGCCTTCAATATATATATATATCTGTAAAGGTAATTCTTACAGTTATTTCAATATTTTTTTTTAAATATTTGTAATATGCACTTATATACAGAATTGATGCGCTTTGAAAACTAAAGAATTGAATTTTGTTTATATTTAAAATTCTACGGTGGCATTTTAATATTATTACAAATATAGCACAATTTATATTATCATTATGTTTTAAGAATAAATATTGAACAACAATTAAACTAATTTCAAATTAAATTCAATGCATATTTGAAGCACTTACTTTGATTTAAGTTTGGTACATTCAAGTCATATAGTAAAACATCCGGCCTGCTCATATTTTTAAAAATTTCCGGTTTTTTATTGCCATTATAAAAATTAGTATTCAATTCACCATATTTCTTAATTAGAGTAGAGTTCATTTTTTTTTATATCGAAATTATTTAAAACCGTCGGCAAAGTATAGAATAAAGTTCAATTAAAATTTATTTTAAAAAAATCTTACTTTGTTTTCTTTTATACAGTTTATAATTTTTTATCATAATATAATTTAAGCCACAATGCACAGTGTTTAATCTTAATATGTTAATTACTTGTAAATTTTATCAAAACATTACTAAGCTTATATTTGAACAATAAAAACAAAGACACCTCAGTTCAATAAATAAAAACTAAAGTGCTTTTATTTCACATAAACCATTTGTGCTATTCCGAGTTGAGTTTTAGGGGTGGAAAAGTAATTTTCACTTAAACATTAAATCTACACCGTAGGTTGAGATAAGCCACAGGAGGCATATGCCTGTTTGTAATCGTTTGTACAAGTGTAATCTGTGTTATCTTCATGTCTATGGGGGCCGTTATAAATTATTAATAAATATCCTTATCAGCTTTGGACGCGGCATTTTTTGTAATAAATTAAAATATAGTAATAGATTTTACTTTAGGAATTGCAGATTAATGTATTACAGGATAAACAAATTATTTTTAATTTAATAATTATGTTTTTTTAGAGGGAACTAAATGGCGTGATTAAAACATACAGAAATATTTTTCTAAAATCATATACCACAAGTATATCTCTAAAAGAATGTAATCAATCTTACATTTTTTTTTTGTAAATACAGTAGTCTAATCCAATCTACAAAATTATATAAATATAGTGACTTAGTTAAAATTTGAAATGGTTTTCAACTGAAAGAAGTCGCTACTGGCGCAACATTCCAGGTAACCGTCAGGGTAAAGAGCTGGTTCATCCCTACAGTTATGGTAAGGTGTCCTTTAACGGATTTCCATGAACTGCGTTATCACCTTAACAAAATGGGTCTGTCCGAAGAGATAGATTGTCGACTCTGCTTAGAAGCAGGCAAGACTTCCAGTCATATTCTCTGTGACTGCCTAGCCTTGATCTGGACCAGGAGGAGGTCATTGGGTTGAGAACTACTCTCTCCTTCTGAAATAAGAACGTCCTTAACGATCGACATTCTGGCTTTCATTCGGAAGGCGGAATGTCTTCTGTTCGGTAAAGGCCTGTTACAAAGGATCAACTATGGTCGCAGTGCTCCGCTTCGTTGGAATCTGGTACTCTGTTTATTCCTAATCCTATTCCAAGTTAAAACTTAATCTTTGATCATAATTGGGAATGGATAACAATTATAATGTCATAAACAATATATTTACGAAATGAATCGTATCACAAAAACACTTCAGCTCAAATTAAAAAATAACTTTAGCCAAATGAGAAGAACACAAGAATTCTATATTAAATTGCTCACAATATATAATGGACTACAAACATCAGTTAAAAAGAAAATTTAATTTAAACTTGATAAGAATTATAATATACTGCATTCATAACATAAATTTATTAAGCATAAATCAAAAAGTGCAAGTTTTTGTAGTTTGTGCTTCTTCATAGAAAACTGTGAGGGATTTGAAGATCTCGTGCCAGAACAATTATATAAACTTAGAGGTCAGGAATTTAATCTGTAATATGCCAGTAATTCTCAAAAATATAAGAATTTGGAACCTACAGCACATTAAAAACTATATTAAAATTGCTCACAATCTATAATCATCATCATCCGTGACTATAAAGTCCATGTAGTGCCTAAGCCTGTTTAACAACATTCTTCCATTCTTGTCTTTTTTTGCTTTTGTTTTCCAATTCCTTATGTTAATTTCTTCTAAATCCTGCTGCACTCTGCCATTCCATTGTTTTCTAGGTCGAGCTCTTCTTTTGCTGTTCCTACTTCGTTCTCATAAATCTTAAGCGATACTCTCGTATCCTGCATTCTTATCAAATGTCCAAGCCATCTTAATCGTAGCTTTTTCATAAATTTGTTGATTGTATCACCTTTAGCTAGCCGTTCTATCTGGTGGTTGTGTCTTATGCAAAACATCTCGTTTTTTTTCACGGGGCCAAAAATTTTTCCGAGTAATTTGCCTTTCAAACACTGCTATCTTGCTTGCATCAGTTTTAGTTAATCTCCATGTCTCGCAGCCATGTATTACTACTGGGCGAATCAATGGTTTGTATATTTTTCCACAATCTATAATAAACATAATAAATCAATTATTAAAATATTTAATTTAAACATGATAACAATTATATACAATATAATATCTATAACATCTATAACAATGGTACACCAGTAAATAATTAGTTAAGAATTTCGGTAAGATTTCAGCTTAAGGGATTAATATAAAAAATATTTGGACAAACCAATTGGACATAAAAAACTATACTATATATAAAAAATGCGTCTAGCATATACGACAAAAACGTGACAGTTGCAGAATTGGTGATTACTGATCAGTATTTTTACATATATTATATTAATACTTTGAAGAAATCTTATTGATAAAAAAATTATCATGAAAAAAAAACAATTTCTTAAAACTTAGTTTGATAATTATTAATATGTCTCTATTACATTAGCAACAAACAGAAGGATATAAGATTCTTCCAATATATTCATTAATTTAAATTATAGTAACTTTTTTTTCTTCAAAGTGATACAACTACTTTCGTTGATTAAATTTATACTGCGCATGATAAAGGGGGAGGTTTTTCAATTTGTACTTCATAGTACACCAATTTGGAAGTAACCAATAATGTTACACCTCGCGTTTTGGTCTAAAACAATTTAGTTTTTAAAGCGGATGCGTTTTGCAAAGAGTTTCATTAGCTTCATGACCTGCTGCAATAATTGAAAGTGTTGGGCTTATTGAAGCGGTTGATTCACATGGGAATTACATTTTTGAAGATACTTGAATTTTATGACTTAACTAGTTCAGCAATAGAAAACAATTTTTTAAAAAGAACGTTTTAAATAAAAGATAAATATATATTGTTAGATTTAAAAAAAAATGAATGGTATATATATAATTTACTATTTTTACAGTGCCAAC